GCCAGGACAGCGGCCCTCGCTCGCCTGACCTACGCGCTATTTTCAACCCGCTCGCTAGCAATCCCGTCAATTCGACCGGGCCATCATGGGACTCTTCCAACGAAGACCTGTCTGGCTCACCCAGCTCCCCTCTCAGGCCCCGTGGAATGACCAACTCTTCGCAAAATTTCCATCCAACACCGCCTCTGAGATCCGTGACCTCGATCCCCGACTACGCCCAATACCGAGGCAACGAACGCTCCAATCTATCTGGCACCTACAAGCCGAACAGAGGTGTTCCGAACTGGTCTCACACTGACTATTACCCTCCCCCACCTCGACCGTTTCGTGGTGAGGAACCACGGGCCAGTTTCAGATCTGGTTGGACCAATGCGTCTTCCAGTGTACTCGAAACTAGTGGCACGGAAAGAAGCAGTATCGTCACCGCACGGAGCTCCATCGCCAGTGATCGACACAACAGCGTCTATTCCCGGGATCCATCGAGAGATCGTCTGGAACGCCTTCGGGAACGCGACGGTTCCCCGGAAACAATACTGACTTCGGAAATCGCCGAGGAGGATGAGAATCTAGACGCTGTTGGCGATGTGTTAGATTCATACTACTACGATGAGGAAGATGAGGAGCGTAGTCCTATCATGGAGCAGGATGAACGAGACATGCACAGCCCCTCGCCAGCAGGTCTTGACGCGGAACTCCCCGAGCTGTCGCAAACGCCCTCTCGCGATTTCGATTCCCTAGACTCCTTTCAATCGAACGAAAGCCTCAAGCAATGGGATGACCGGACACGCCTTTCGACGCACAGTAAACTTGGACGCAACGCGGATTCCAAGGAGCTATTGACAATCCGTCCTCCTTCCGGCTCGGATGTGGACGAGGTATACAACCTCGATCCTACAGAGCGAAAGGCGCTGCGAATCGAACTACTGCCCTCGGTACAGGTCAGCCCATTCCAAGCTGCATACACCCCACGAACAATCGAGGCCGCAACGCAACAGTCCAGAAAGAAGCGATCGAGCACAGTGAAACGAGCAAGTGAAGAAGCACCGAGGCGTGTGTCTGTCACACTGCAAGCTCTTGCTCTCAGAACCACGGAAGCCAAGGGCCACCGCTCGAGTAGATCGATGGGTAGCCGCTCACAGCTAGACCATATCCGTCGTGATATTTCCAATCTTCCACAATTACCCCCAAGTCGATCGCGAATGTCGCGCCAGGATTGGGCCAACATCGAAGCTTACTCCAAGCGACACAGCAAGAGACCAAGTGTTCCTCGCACCTTTTCCAGTGAATCTCTTGCCAGTTCTCATGTTCCTCAATCTCCGCCTATGCAAAGATCTGAGCCGCTCCCCGAGCTGGACGAAGACGAGGCTATTCCCCGTCGCGCTTCCACGAGTGTCTTCGACCGAAAGAGCGCACTGTTCGATCTTGGCATGATGTCTCAGCTCACGACAGCCAAGAGCAAGCCCGAGTCCCCGAGAGGCCCTACATTGGCACCTCCCAGCCAAATTCCCACCGTAATACCTGGCCTGCGAAAGACGGCTGCCCCTACCGAGAGAGATCGCTATGGATTCAAGAAGGCTTCCGACAAGATCAACGTGCAGGAGTACAACGCATGGGCTTCTAAATACGAAGACCACATCTCCCGCCGGAGAGGCAAATGGATTTCATTGATGGCCAAGCAAGGTCTGTCAACGAATGAGCCTACCAGGTTCCCTGAGATGTGTGAGAAGGTCAAGCGCTATGCTCGCAAGGGCTACCCTCCTGAGTGGAGAGGTGCCATGTGGTGGTACTATTCTGGCGGTCAGCACGTGCTTGCGCGAAAGGAAAATGTCGGCCTGTACAAGTCTCTGGTAGCTCGCGTCAACCGTGATGAGCTCAACAAAGACGACAAAGATGCCATTGAGCGCGATCTCGACAGGACATTCCCCGACAACATCCATTTCCGTCCGGAAGCAGCGACTGATCTACTGGACGGCGAGTCTGACGACGAACCCGTGTTGATCCAGGACCTGCGCGAAGTCCTATCTTGCTTCGCCCTGAACAACCCCAATATTGGTTACTGCCAGTCGCTCAACTTCATTGCCGGCCTTCTTCTATTGTTCCTGAAGCAGGACAAGGAGAAGGTCTTCATCCTTCTCACAATCATCACGCAAAATCATCTGCCTGGTGCTCACGCTCGCAGCTTGGCAAACACCGAGGTCAATGTCCTGATGATGCTGATCAAGGACTACCTGCCAAAGGTATGGGCATCAATTAACGACACCGATCTCATCAACAGCGGCGCCGGCTCCAACGCTCACCCCAACTCCAAGTTCCAACGCCAGCCCACAGTCGCTCTTTCATGCACTTCCTGGTTCATGAGCATCTTCGTTGGTGTGCTGCCAATTGAAACGGTACTCCGCGTTTGGGACGCCTTCCTCTACGAAGGACCCCGTGCCCTTTACCGCTACGCCCTTGCCATCTTCAAGCTGGGTGAACCAGAAATCAAAAAGTACCGTCCTGGCGATGGCGAAATCTTCATGGCAGTCCAGACACTGCCCAGGCGTTGCCTCGACCCTAACATCCTGCACGACCTGGCGTTCGTGAAGAAGGGGTTCGGCAACCTATCACAGAACGTCATTGACCAAAAGCGCATGTTCTGGCGTGAACAGAACATCCTGGCGCACCAGACGTCGGTCAAAACCACAAACGGTCGACGAATGCTCACCGTACCACAAGAAGAAGATGAAGACGACGATCGGGACAGCCTCAGGAAGGCCATGGGCATGAACCGCCTGCGCCGTCGCGCATCCCGCAAGTTCCGCCAAATGGGCATCAAGTGAAGAAGCCAGACTTCTCTCCGCCCACACCATCAACAAAGAATCAGTCAACCAACTGAACGTTCAGCACGAGTCCAACGTTTCTCGGCCGTGCTTTTCTCACTTACATATACGTTTGCAGCGTTTTATCTCCTCATCGTCCGGCGTTTTACCAAAAAAGAGAAGGTGGTCTATCTGGGTTACTTTGCTTTACCTTCTTGTATAATAATCACGATATACCCTTTTTGCGGGCGGAAAGCTTTTCAACTTGAACGAAGGATTGTAGAGAGCTAGAAGGGATGGAGACGGGAGTGCTTGTCGCAAGCATAGCATCGCATCAGATGGACGTGCTTTTTGTTGGGTAATGGTTACGATGTTATGACCCTCATCAGTCAATCAATATACCCTGTTCGTCCTGCTTAGAAATACTTCGACCTTGCTGCATGTGCTTGCTGTGAATGAAGACCTGCTGCTGAAGAGTCCACGAACCAAGGCGCGCATGTGAATCACAACCACGTTTCACTTGATTGGTCCAGTCCCAGATTGCGGGGCACCAATCCCCCACCATAGATTTTCGGCGTACGCCGCTCTAGCCTTGCCTACCTAAGTAGGTAACCATTTCTTGACTCTCCCGCGGGCGGACAGACTTTTTTTTGCAAAAACAATTCCACTCCTCCGTTCAACTTTGATTTCGCTCTTTACACTTGGAGATATTATTCAGAATACTACCGCGAAAATGGTCGAGAAGGTGTACGTCACATACAACCAGGTACGTTCTTTCGAGGTCCATTGTTACACATGCGATCAGACACCCCGCGCACGCACGCGCGTGAGGTGTCTTTGTGTCACCACGATGTATACGACGCGAGGCTGGTATCGCGCCATGCAGATATCGTAGAGAGCGACTTTGGAGAGTCGATTCGTATGCTATTCATGCGACCACGACAATCGAACCCTTGCGCAACATCGCGCAGCAAACAAAGCACAAAGTCCACAGCTAACAACCCCCCTCCCCACAGGTGCACAAGCTGTGCCAAGAAGCCGCGGACCAAATCCTCAATGACTTCAAGCCCAACCTCATGATCGCCATCGGCGGCGGAGGCTACGTCCCCGCGCGCATTCTCCGGTATTATATCCCCAAACCCACACGTACAAACACCGTACATACCAGACAACAAGAACTGACATACTTGTTTGACAGATCCTTCCTCAAGCGCGAAAACAGCCCCAACATCCCCATCCAAGCCATCGGCCTCTCCCTCTACGAAACCCTGCCCACAACCACAGACAAAGACGTCGAGACCCCGGGAACAAAAGTAACCCGCACACAATGGCTCGACCTGTCTTCTCTCGAGATGGCGAATCTGATTGGCAAGAACGTGCTCATCGTCGATGAGGTCGACGATACACGAACTACACTTGAATACGCGGTCAGGGAGTTGGAGAAGGATGTAGAAGCCGCGGTCAAGAAACTGGGTCGTGAAGGCGAGAAGACGAACTTCAGTATCTTTGTGCTGCACAATAAGGATAAGGCGAAGAAGGGGGCGTTGCCGCAGGAGATTCTCAAGGGGAGGTATAGTGCGGCGAGGACGGTGGGGGATGTTTGGATTTGTTATCCTTGGGAGGCTACGTACGTATTTTTCACTTGTCTTTTTGACGTTTTTGGTATGGTTTTGAGGAAGTGCTAACGTTTTTCATAGTGACATTGACGAGCATGACCGTCTTTCGAGGGAGCAGGAGGGTAAGCAATAGGATTTTTTCCATCGAGGAAGGATAGAAGGGAGATGATGACGATGAAAGAGAAAAGTATGCGTCACATTTACGGCATTCGATCGATAGCATGTAACGGACGGATGGGATATACTGGAGTTTGAATGGGATTGGATAGCAAGATAGATGTATTGAATGAGCATATGACTTGACATGAAAGATTGTGCCAATCTAACGAGTCAGTCATCCGACAGTTCAGTTTCGTTGTCGGTCATGGTCGACTGATTAGTGATCGACTGATTAGTGATGGGTTGATCGGAGTAGAGATCTTGGATGCTATGGCGTGCGAGGTATGAGATATAGATCAGTCACTCAGGGCGCAGTAGAGGATTCGGAGTTGGTTAGTGTCCTGCTGTATGGAGCGTTGCTAGGGGTTGCTAGAATCCCCGTGGCATCTCTAAGGTTTGCTACACATACACTACTATATCTCAATGACTAGTCACTTTCTGAAGATAATGAAAGCTCCTGCCTCCGTCGTTCCAGCTCCGGCCCCCAGATCTCCTTTACACGGGCATATGGCCGAGACTGTAGCCACCCCTTGTAATGTGGTTGATCGAACCACGTATCCATACCCTTCGATACCTCAAGCTCTCCCAGATCAAAGAACGATCCATTCTCCTGTGGTTTCTTCCCCTCATCGTCGTCGTCAAAACAGAGTATGTAGAATCTATTCCCCGCGTTTCTGATAACATAGTCTTCGTTCATAACAACGGGTGCGTTGATATCGAGATCGAGTGACTCTTCGTCCACTAGTTCAGACACGATGAGCTTGTAGGTTTTGCCGGCACTGGCGCCCTCAACCGCATTCATGTCATGCTTGTCGGCGTTCCCATCCATAAGAGCAATCGTGTCACGCATTTCGCCTTCGACGTCCCCGTCCCAGAATGCGGCATAGCATGTGTCCTTCCACCACGCCATGGCACCGTTGGTATCGGTGAATTCGGGGTGTTCGTATAGCCGGGAACCCTCCCATACACTCATCTCCATCTCTTCTTCGTTGAATCGTACTAGGAACGATGACTTGCCGTTGGTGTCTCGCATGACTATCGACAGTATGTTCTGCTTGTCGTCGACTGGGACAAAGGTGTTTGGATCACGGGAAAAATACGAGAGAGAAGTTACCCCGTGGAGGTTTGCGTGGTGTGTGCTGAGACACTCCCCGCTGTATGTGTAGCGACCGAACGCGAAGAACTGTTGGTGGAAAGGAACGTCATTGTTACGTGCGGCATTGGCAAACAAGATGATTGTCTGGGTCGCAGGCTGTATGATAGGAGCAATGCCAAGTGATTCGTTCTCGCTAGACTCGGATTAGCTTTACGTGCAAAGAATGCATAGAGGATCCCAGTGTTGGTGGATTCATTGGCTTCAAAGGATACGAGCACCGCTCAGCAACCCCAGAAAGATTACTTACACGACATCGGTCCCCCAAAACATGTTACCGGGTTCAAAGTTGATATTGAAGGATCTTCCACGCTGGGAGTCGTATTCCCAGATATACACCGATGCAAACCCGGAGTCGATATGGTAACATGCGACAGTGCGCTCTCGACAGGCAACGCTGGCGAAATAGTTGTTGTTTGGTACTCTGAACTTCTTGCAACCGCGTTTGCCATGTAATTCGTGAACATAGCAGATGTTCGCCCAGGTTGTTAGCGCCACAATCTCACTAGATACATAGACGTCGATAATTCGTTCACGGCCTTCGCCACCCAGGAAGCGAAGATCCCATGTAGCTAGATCGAGGACGCAAACATTTCGCGATCGGTTTTCCGGAGTGTACGTTAGGCTTTGCCAGATGAGACTGTTTCCTGCTAAATAGATATCATCTATACTGTCCTTGGGTGTTATCTTGTAGACTTTGCGCGGCTTGCCGGTACGAAAGGCATTGATCTTGCGGGCTTTCTTTTGACATAGAGCGTGGTCGGCATCTTGGAAGTTGACAGTACCTTGGTACCAACTGTTGAGACTTGCTTTGATAACATATAAGCTCTGGAGAGTGTGATTCCATCGTCTTGAGATACTTTGCAAGCGGTAAGGAGCAGCGACGTCTAAATGCGAGAACACCTGGGCCACTAGCTCAACGGGCAGATTGCCGATGACGTCGAATTGGAAGGTACGACTGCTTGTCGTGGCGTGGAGTGTCCTCCACTCATACGGTGATAATTCAGCTGCTAGAGCCGTGAGTGCCTTTTCTCTCTCATGTACATGCATGCGTCGAAACGCATCGATGAAGTCGGTAGTCATGCTGCTTTTTCTGCCGATCAAAGGCAGGGCTATCGATAGGATAGCGACTCGCCACCCGAGCGGTCGGTGATAGACTGGTGCGGTGACGGCAGGTGGTAGCGTCGGGGTAAAGCTAACGTTCTGCGTTGACGGCACCTGGGTTGGCCTGGGGAAAGTCGGTCGAGGCTGACTCGAAGGAAGGTTGGTGGTTGACGTTTATCCAAGGAGGTCTGTGCGTGTAGGCTGCCTGCAGACCCTGGACCCTCCCCTGGCTTACACCACGCGTGAAAGCCGAGGATGGCGCAGATGCTCGCGAGTCGTACTAGCAATGTTTGACCATGGGCAAGGGAGTCAGTCGGCTTCAGCTGCCCGGCAGCGTTTGAGGCAACTCTGGCGAAGGTTCGGTATTCTAGTCTGTGTCACTGCCCTTCCGCATCCGCAGCCGCATCACGGGCATTCGGGAGGAGCATAGGCATATGAGGCGCATTATATGCTGACCCCGCAGCAGAAACAGTTCGCGTTATAGTGATATTAGCGGTGGGTTATTATGGTCGAGCAATGTTTCAGTGTCTCGACCTGCAGCTGGCCGAGGGCAGGGGTCGCGGGCACATGCAACGTCGACAAGGAGCGACGTCTTTGCCGTGAGCTGCATACCATTGCCCTACCATGGCAGCAAACCCGGACGGCGGGCCATGGTCTGTCAGCGGGCGTTGGGGTACCTAGAGCTACACAGTGCTGAGGGCGGTGATGGATAGGTAGATAAATGAAGATGACCATGTGTCCCCTCAGCGTTGGATGACACTTGGCTCGGCTGGTGGTGCGCAAAGGCCTTCAGATGCTCCCGCAGCACGCTCCCACATCGCGATCCCCCATAGTATTCTCAGCGGTAGCGCTACCGTTCCGCCCTCGACGCCCCGTGCCTGGACCTCCTTTCCGTCCGTAGCCAGTGTTGCGACACGCCGGCATATCTCGCCGCGCCTCGCAGCTTGCAAGTTCCCACGAACCTGTCTCCTCCTCCCTCCGCCAAGCCTCGCACGCTCAAACACAGTATCCCGGAGCATCTGGAATTGTCGTCGTCTTCAGCGCTCGGACCTGCCCCTCGGACTGCGCGAGCTCCTATTCCTCAGCGACGGCCGCTCCCGATCCGACAAAGGACCACTGGCACCGTCTGCCACGCCGACTTTTTCTGGAACCATATTTCTACGGCTCGCGCAGGCGCTAGAAGAAATCCCCAAGCCTAGGAAGCTTCCAAGACGCTCGCCCGCCGATTCGAAGCTTCTGCGGCGACGTCGGCCACACATATCGCATGCTCCTCCGCATCTTCTCCGCCCACCCACGTTCGCTGCCACCGCAAGTCGGGACCCTGCATCCACCCGACCTCAAGCATTTTTCGAGACACTTCTGAATCTCTGCGCCCATCGCACGCTGCTCAATTCCCTTTCCCCTGCACGACCCCCGTGCGCCCGTCTCCACGCACGCAGCAGGCCTGACACCTCAACACCACGCCTGCTCTCCACATCGCCCACATGGCTTCTGTCGCAGAGGCCCGCCGCAGTCCCTTTTCGGGCGACCCTCACCATCCCAACCTGCACAAGTCGATTCCCATCCTGCCCTCGTCCAGCCCGAGGCTTGCGGCGTCCCGGGACTCCATGGACATCACGCCCTCGTCGTCAACCATGGGCCCGCCCAACGAGCGCACCCAATCGGTCTCGTTCCAGCTGCCGTCGCAAAGAGAAGGAAACGGCGATTCGGAAAACACTTCGCCTCCCAATGGCAGCACAGGGCCTGCAGTGGGCGCTGCCGCAGCTGCACAACAGCCCAAGGTCGTCCAGACGGCCTTCATACACAAGCTATACAAGTACGTGTGCCGCAACAGTACGCACGCGATGCGACACTAACACGACACAGCATGCTCGAAGACCAGAGCATCCAGCACCTCATCTCCTGGGCGAGCACTAACGAGAGCTTCGTCATGTCTCCCTCTAGCGAGTTCTCCAAAGTCCTTTCGTACGTACACCTAAAGCCACAGCCGCTCCAGGCTCTCTGGCTAACAAATCCCAGGTCCTACTTCAAGCACACCAACATTTCCTCATTTGTGCGCCAGCTGAACATGTACGGCTTCCACAAGGGTACGTGTCCAATTTCTTTCCGCCATGCCATAATCCCATGCTGACTGTACCGCTGCAGTGAGCGACGTTTTCCACACTGGATCGCCAGACACTCCGCTTTGGGAGTTCAAGCACGGCAACGGAAACTTCAAGCGAGGCGATCTGGTCGGTCTGCGCGAAATCAAGCGACGTGCTTCTAGACATGCCCTCGTCCATCGCGAGTCCTTCCCCGCGCCCAAAATGCCCCTTGGCCCACCAGCTGGGCAGGCGGTCGACCCAATGCCGGACCCTGTCGAGTCACGTCTCCAGAGTCTCGAATACAACCTCCATGACATGCATGCGCGCATGCAGCGATCAGAAGACACATGCGCATACCTCACTCAAAGGAGTTCGGTGCTAGCCGAGGGCATGATGAAATGCCACCAAGTAAGTCGATTGTCTAGACTTCAATACACAACAGCTAATAGATTATACAGTGGAATCAGGACCTTGCAAACCTCATCATGCAAATGGTGCCGGACCCGGAAAACCCTATCCATAGGGATGGTACGCGTCAATGCTCAAACCTTGTCTGCGCGACACACACTGACTTTTCCAGTCGCTATGATGCAGCGTGAAATTGCTCGACAAACAGACATGCTCCGAGCATTGGAGCCACCAGAAGATGCACCTCTCTCCGCACGCCAATCCTACTTCATGCAAGTAGACAGCAGCAACGGCCCACCCCTTTCACCCCGGCAAATGCCACAAGACAATCTAACAGAGTCGCGGAGAGGATCCTTGGCGAACGTTTCACGGCAAGCTCCATACAAGGCTCCGATCCCGGCCCATCTTGCAATTTCTCCGCGACGTTACGGTTCAATAGGCACGGGTAATTACTCTCCATCTTCAGCCAGAACCCCAGTTTCCCATCAGCCACCCCCACCTCCTCCACCACAAGTCCAGCAGCCGGGAGGTGCAAACCTGGGGAGCAACTTGCCAAGCACTTTGTCCCCTCCGTATAATCTATATAGGCGGCACACCTCGGCAGATATCCGCTTACACGGTTGGCAACCGCAGCCACCCAACCCTGCTGTCAATTCGCCCTACGCTTCTGGTTACAACTCCACACAATGGCCCTCGTCACCGCGCCATCCACCTATCGGAGGTGGTGACCAGCAGCTCCGTGATGCATTGGAATCATATCAATTACCCCGCGGTCCACGGCAAGCACAGTCAAGACACGGCTCTCCTCCACCGCCAAATGAAAACATGCCGTCGACATTAAATCCAGATGCTGGCTGGACACTACCGGGAGCTAGATATCCTTTCAAAGGCCTCGACACTGGACCACCTACTCGACGATCTAGTATGGCGTCCAATGTCCACTCGCTCCTCAACCCCGCGGAAACTGCGGAACGCAGTGAGGAGGATGAAGCAGATGACGTGCGTAAGCGAAAACGCATGCAGTGATGATCATACTCCCCTGTCCGACGCAAACTCTTGTTGTGTCACGCGACTTCATTTATTCTGTTGTGTCTTTGCGTTTGGTATGGCGTTCAGCGAGTCCCGCTCCGGACATGAGATCCACATTTTTCGATTCCCATATCCTCATCACAGCGTCTGGATATGTCTACCCATATTCCATTTCCTATTTTTCTTATCCATTCCCTAATTCTTATCGAAAAAAAGCTGCTTGCATAAAGACATGTACATGCATTGGGTGGTGACGACTTTCGGTATTGCTGCTCATTGATAGGGAGTAATTACGTGTTTGAGTGTCGATGGATTGACTCCACATTCCACTTTGTATGGTGGCAGTCCGAATGGGTCGGTTGGAGGTTGTGTGTGCTAGCCCCGCATGAGGGTTAGTACGGATGCAATGTAAACTTCGGTTACTTGTGAATTACCTGGTGTCTTTTACATACCAATGATTACAAGCACTGCATATACGAGTAACCCCCTGACTACCGCGTTGTACAATACATGCAGTGGTCGCCGATGTCGCACGTGTGGAAGGTTGACCCTGACGCGCAGGTGACGTCGATGTTGATCAGCTAAACGAAGCGAGTGAGGTTCGGATCACGGATTCCAATTCGAAGAACGACGATTACTAAATGTGGGGTGCCACATAGACCATTAGTGAGTAGAGAGAGAGACGAAGAACCGATAAGTTTTGATCCTTTGCATTCAGTAAGAAAGAATATACTACAACAGTAGCATACAACCCAAGACTCCATTCCATCCTATCCGGACAGAAAGATAGCGACCGTGGTCAACCAGCCGTCCAAACAACCCCCCCGAAAACACCAAACACCGCCCTCTATCCCATATATACAATCTTCTTCCTTTCAACCCCAAACCCCCTACCAACTTTCCTCTTCAACCCTAAACCCTATACCCAAGCCACCCAATAGTATTCGAATAAACACTCAGATTATCCCTCCAACTCGCCTTATCCACCCCATCCACCGTAACCATCCACTCACTGCCCACCTCACTCAGCGCAAAAGCCTGCACACTCGAATCCCCCTCGATACTCAGAATCCGATTCTGACATATCCGCGCCCCACCACTCGCATCCGCGCTCGAACAACTAGTGCTGTAATTGCGGAAGAAAGAATACAAACCCCCACCGTAGACAAGCACGTTCTTTGAGTTCAGCACACGGAGGCCGTAGGCGGAGGCGCCGGATGGGTATACGGGATCGGAGTAGGCAGCGGATGTGCCGTAGGGTTGGTTGGAGGCGTCGGGCGTGGGCATGTAGTATGGTGTTTCTGTTTGGATGAAGCCGGCGAAGATGTTGGATGCGCCGTTGAATTGGTACTGGTAGTTTGCGTGGTGCTCGACGCCGTTGGCCCAGAGCCACACGTTTGAGGCTTCGACGTGCAGGCCGCGACCCGTCAGGATGGTGATTTGCGTGCTGCGCGCGTCGTCCATGTCGTGGTCGGCTGTCCAGAACCAGTTGTTCTCGAAGTACGCGCCGTTGGCGCCCTTGGTTACGTGTACGTTTGTGTGGGCGGCCATGCATTCGGGTTTTACGCTGCCGACTGTAGACGGGCACTGCGCGACTTGCAGGTTTGTGCCTTTGGCGCCGCCGATGCGGGTGTGCACGTCCCAGAGGCCGGAGCCGCGCTCGGTGTTGAGGTTGTATTGGATTACGATGGCGCCGGGGGTGGCGCCTTGGGTTTGAACGATCATGTCGGACCATTCGATGCGGCCGCTTTCGCCGGGCTTGCCGATCTGCATGATGGGGACGGGGGAGTCTTTGTTGGAGAAGACGGAGCCGGAGCCCATGATTGAGGGGAAGGTTTCGCCGACCATGCGGGAGCCGGGGGGGACGTAGATTGTGTTGGTTACTCGGTAGACGCCGTGCTCGAAGAAGAGGACCTTTGGGGTATGATTAGATTTGAGATAGAAGATGGTGACATTGAGAGGGGACGTACCTTGTTCGAAGAAACAGCCCTGTTGATGGCATTCTGAACAGCCTGGGTGTCGTCGGTACGACCATCACCTGTAGCTCCACTGCCGCGAGCACTGATGAAGTCGCCAGAGTTGAGGTTCTCGTACTGCGGCTTCGACTTGGCGTAGTACTTGTTGCCATCCAAAAGACCTCCTGGACGAGCAACAGGGGTAAAGGTTCCCTGGAACTTCTCCGGGCCGTTGGCATTGGGAGCGTACTTGTTACCCTGACCCCAAGCCTGGATAGTGAATGTACCACCTTGAAGAACAGTAGCACCGTTTCCTACGACGGCGTTGGGTACGTTGTTGAGCTTGATGTTCTCCAGCATGAGTTGTCCGGCACCAGTAGGAACGCTGTTACGAGTCCATGCCATATCGACAAACTTCTGGCAGTTGGTAATCTCAGAGTCGATGATAACAACAGAGCCGACCTCAAGCTTGTTAGCCGAGCCACCGTTGCTCATAGAGAAAGCTGTTCCGCAGTCACTAATAGTAAGACCAGCGTACAACCAGCCCCAGTCCCAGATCTGCGAGATACCAGTGACGGCCTTGGAGATCTTGACGTTGCGCATGGTGAACTGCTGGTTTCCAATGTTCATGCCGTACAAGCCACCCTCGATGTCGAGGTCAGCCATGTGGCCACCAGATCCGTTCTCGACGAAGATACCGGCGTGGACTGAGTTCGATGCCTGTGTCATGCGGATCTTGACATTCTGGATGGTCGTGGCTTGCGAAGCGGGCCAGTGGATACCCTGGAAGCCGCTGGTTGGTGCAACAGCTGTGCCATCGATGATCAAGTTGCGGATCTGCCTCAGAAAGATGTTTGTTGATGTCCAGCCGGGTGCACCGTTGTTCTGGTAAGGACTAGCATCAATGAGAGCAATAGCCTGAAGGGTAGGAGCAGCTTTCAAGACAGGAAGACCTCGGGGGTTGCCGATAAGCTGAGTCATGTAGTAGAAGATGATAGGCTTGCCAATGAGGTACGTTCCAGAAGGAATATAAACGACGGCCGGGGAATCCGTAGCCGAGTCGCACACGCCGGGACCGCAACGGTTGCCGTCGGCAATGGCACGGTTGATTGCATCAGAATCGTCGGTGACACCGTCGCCTATGGGAGTGTTAGATTTGTACTGAAACACAAAAAGCAAAGTAGCTTACCCTTTGCTCCGTACTCCTTGACGTTACGGAAGACCTTGTAAGCACCGTTGGCGTTGAAGGCAGCTCTTCCGTTGCCGGAGAGGTCGTTCAGCCAGTAGCCATCCGTGATAGCAGCAACTCCCTGGATGCTGCTGATGTTGGAGGTAGGCTCGGTATCATTCACTACTATCTGTCTGGGGAAGCGTGCTGTGGTGTATCAGTAACGCAACTATTCAGGGATAAAAGTCATTGCTTACCGATAGCAGCACCCTGAATGCCAACTGCACCAAGGCAGGCGAGCAAGAAGGACAAATGCATAGCCGTGAGTATATGCCAATAGATAATGGTATGTTCAGTGAGAACACAAAGAGGAGGAGTACAAAGGAGTGTAGACTGTAGTAGCGAGAAGAAGTCTCAGAGGGAGACCATGATGCCTATTTAATCTCCCCGTTTGTTCACTGCTACACGTCGTGGCAGTGCGTGATAGGAGAAAGAACCATACACCCACGCGATCATTTGGAGATCTGCTCCCCATGAAGCGTGCCGACTGGCTAGCTAGCAACATCCGGTGATGAGATACTCACCGTCTACCACTTAGGAGGTCATAAGGCCTTGTCGAAGACTAACTCACTAGGCGGCTACCCCCGTTGCCGTTTGAAGGGTTACATAGCTTACTTCGGTCCCGGCTTCGAGATGTCTTAGCTTGAGTAACATAGTCTGGGGAAAGGGAGGGTGTAGGTACGCGCCCTTCCTTTTCAAGCCCAATCTCCGAGGGGTGTTTGTTGTTGTTTGGTAAGTCGAATAAAACGTATTCTATTCTCGTGAGCAGTGTGATCTACTCTAAATCTAGAAGCTGCAGTGGCTATCTAAACGTGAATAGAGGATGACGATGGTGATCCAGCGTGCTGCCCAACGCATGCTATGGGTGAGCTACAAGCAGAAGTTGTAAGAAGACTCAGGGGATATGCAACTAACCTCGATGCAGCGTTGGTCACCGGGACGGCCCTACGCATATTATTTCCGTTGAAGCGCTGTCCAGTGACTGTGCAAACACCGACCAAACCTTGGAAGCATGTGACGGACGCTAGTGCCAAGACCAGAGCGTTGAAGCCGGCAATTGGCTCCGCGGTCATGAATCTTAAAGACCCCAGATTTGCGCCGTCAACAGTAGTTCGCCACGAAGCCTAAATGTGGGGTAGTCTTGGGTAGAAATGCCATGCGTCGCACTGCATGAGTCTGCCCTATGATCTTGCCCTGCAGCATAAGCCTCAAGCGCGCGTGCTCATGTGTTAGTCTCTTAGACGTCAGAGCACTCACTTCACACCCATAGTTGTGATGCGGTGAATGCAGAGAGTCTTGTGAGGCTTCCGCGAGACAAGCAACGTGAAGGCAAGCCCGACACCTTTCTTTTGACCTGCCTGATTGGAACAGACTTGTTTTGAAACGGCGCCAGTCAAAGATCGCAAATGACGGCGGCGAAGTCAGGCGCGTGAACGTTGGCCACGGAGTGTAGTGTCGTTTGCAGACTCGGGCATGCCTAGGTCTGGGCATCGTGGAGCTTTTGCTGGTTAGAGGTCGGCCGAACGCCATGTTTGGAGACAATTTCCTAGGTGTATGCTTTGAGATTGCAACATCGCAAGCGCCTCGTCGAATACCCCAGATGCACAGGAGCCGGGCCTAGGCGACGGTCATGCACAGGGTAGATCATGTGGGTCAGGGTAGATAGATTAAAAGAATCTGGCTATGACCAGTCATGTGCCTAGACTCGACTTACACTTTCGGGCTATCTGCCACTAAGAGCAGGCGCCGACCCAGTAGCTTCGCACATGGCAAAATCTGAGCATCAAGTCGATGAAAAAGTAATAGAATGTGCAATACAGGAGGTCAAGCGAATGTACGCTTGTAACTTCGGTCAAAGTCGGACAGCCCATTCGTGGTGGAGCAGGTGAATAGCTCAAGCGATTCTTTACACGCCTGCCTAAGAGGGTATCTTGAACGAAACCTTGAAAGTCGTAGGTTGGAATCGTAGTGTACCAGCATTCAGTATTGCAAAAGGGGTTGAGATGCGCGTTTAGGTGCGCGACAGCTCGCCGTCTCTCAGACTTTGCGCAGGGTCGCGGCAGTCGTGTTGCGCGATGCCGTGCAACCAAACTCCCGACAGGCAGCGAACATGACAGATGGCCACGCGAGCGGTGCGACTTTGCAGATGAGATATTGTATTCATGTACAAGCGTAGTACGCGCTGTGGTGGCCCATGTACTGTCGAGTTTGGTATCCGAATGCCCAGACATCTCAACAGGTGCCTCTAGCATATTCCGTGGCACATAGTAGTACTGTGGGGTCACTGCCTATTCCCGTGCAGAGCGCATGATCATCTAGAGGTATCATAGCTTGGTCGAAAGTCTGATGAACATGCCGTCGGCGATGGTGTATATCGTACCGTTGCCGTCTTCGAGAGTCGCGCGAGCGTATAGTTTGCGACCGCCGTCTTCTATTCGTTCGATCTTGGCTGTGCAGAGAAGCGTCTGCAGGGTTGGCGCTGGCTTCTTGTAGGTAGTGTTAAGATCTGCTTGTGCTCAGCTGGTGTTTCGGTGTTGATGCATGGTATAGACGAACAGGCAGTAACGTAGCTTGCGACAGGCGCGCGGCGACCGTCCTTACTTGTCCTTTGCGCCTTTCTCTCCATAACCGTCCCGATCAAGACGCCGGACATCTCGTCAAGCAACGTTGCCTGGAAGCCGCCGTGTGCGATCCGTGGGTAGCCTTGTAGCCCATCGCCTAGCTCCACAATGGTTCTGATCTCCTTGTACGCGATGTCGCCTGTTTCCTCGTTTTTCGGACGAAACGTCAGAAGCGTTGTTATTGTGCGATCAGTGCCAAGCGTTCCTGCGAAAAAGGAGTCTTCCCCTGATGGCTTTACTGACCGCGAGCTGGTCTCCATCGGCGTCCAGTTGGGGTCGTTGATCAAGGCAGCGGCCCAGGGAACAGACAACAAGTGGGAATATTTCGCGTCCATGATGGCGCATTGATAGTGTTTGCAGTGTGAATCGCGTGTGCTGCCTTCGCGTTCATTGAGAACATGACTGCGGAGCTCGCGAGACTCTGGGGTAGCAAAGATGCCGAGGTGTAACGGCAGGACGGGTTGTGGGGAGCTTAGAGCTCCACCGCTCTGTAAGCCATCAGCACACCTGGGCAACCTCATTCGTTCATGACCATAACAGTCGTCAACACTTCAAAAACTCAACTCCAAGGTCTGCGATCAATGGGTCCCAAAAAGACTTCAAATCGAAGGATAATTTGAAAGAATCCAAAACGCGCAAAAGCATCACGAAGATCTTCATGTGACAACGCGCCTCACAATGCAAGACGTCATGCCCACGCGCTAGACACTCCATCAAGCATTCCCACCACCAAAGCACGCACTATCTCTCAATGATGTAGCTGCGTAGCTGCCGAGGTACAGGTAAGGTCTAGATGTCATAACCAGCCCTTTTTCCCCAGATTTCTTACTCCGCGGTCAAACATCATCGTGATTTCATACCATACATTACACATTTTGGACAACTTGGACAACAAAAACCTACCCTGGTCAGCAATAATGGTCGACACATCCCACTCCTCCTCCGTCCGCGGCACACTATCCAACCCAAAGACCAAAGAAGCCATGAGCTCCGATAAACCCACTCCCCGTCTCGGCGACCACGTTAGTCTGAAGCCTGAAAACGACGATAGCAAGACTTTCCCTTCAAACGACGCTCCCTCCTCTTCTTCCTCGTCTTCGTCCTCAACCTCATCCTCATCCCCGCCATCCTCAGAGACCTCTTCCATCGGCGCACCCACGCCCTCAGCCCCCTACGTCAAATCCGGCACATCAGCCGGCGGCGCCGACAAGAAGGCCATTGGCAACGGCGGGAGTGCAGGTAGCAAGAAAGAGGAAGGAAAGGAGGATCTGCCGCACAGCAAGAAAGTACGAGGGACGCTTGCGAACGACGATGGAAACAAGGTGAACAAGACGCAACTTGGTGATCCGGCGAGTTTGAAGGCGGAGACGAGTGATACTAAGGACATGGGGAGGCAGACGGAGAGGGAGGGACGGGATAAGGGGGGGAAGAGTAAATTGTAGGGGTTTTGATGCGGAGATGGGGGATGGGATGGGGTGGAGGTGTGGCATGTGTGTATGACTCGCCTTGCCGTGCTCTAGGCCTATACAAGTTCGTTGACATCGTTACTGGGTATCTCTCTAATCTAGTCTATACACTCCAACCACCATCCATCATACTTCTATACACCCATCTACAAACACCTCATCAAAACACTCCAAACCCTTCCATCTCACACCCCAGCCTCCGTCCTCTGCGGCGCCCACCCCTTAAGCCAACTCCTCGCCTTGTCCAAATCCCCACCTTCAGCCTCCATAGCAGCAACACACCACTCCAACCCATAACCACCCTTCCCCTCAATCCCCTTCTCAGCAGCCACCATCTCAGCCAACGTCCTGCACTTCTGCGTCCGCTCATCCACGCAAAAGTGCAACGGGGTCTCATACCCCCTCCCATCCATTCCCTGCAGGAAAGGCTTAACAAGCGGAATAGCATCTTTAGTCGGAATGGATTTATCTTCCTGGCCTAGGTTCTTCCGACCAGTACGGCAGTACTCGTTCTTACACCACGCTTTCCCACAGCCGGTGAGTAGCTGGGAGAGGTACCGACGCTCGATACGGCGACGCAGGGCTTTGCCTTCTGGGTCGTGGAGCGAGACGTAGAGAGGCCCGAAACAGACGCTGCAGAGCCCGATTTCGTTACCGGGGCCTTGACCTTTGCGCGTCCCGGCTCGGGTGTCGCCGGCTTTGTTTGCGCCGTCTTGGGTGCGGCCGCAGTTTACGTTGCGGCATAAGCGGGGTGGGGGGCGGGATAGGCGCTCGAGATCGTGATGCCGGAGGTGCGTGTCCATGTCGCGGAAGCGGACGATTTTGTTGCAGAGGTGGCATTCGGTTGTTCGGCCGCCGTCTGCTAGCTCGTGGGGTGTGAGGCCTGAGAGGAGGAGTTCGGGGGATTGGTCGTTGGGGTCGCCTTCTTGCGGGACTTGGAGGTGGCAGAAGCGGCAGAGGATTAGCTTGCCGGGGCATACGGTTGTTTTGTGATGAGAGAGCATGGGCATTGATGGGAACTCCATGTCGCATGTTGAGCACATCTGTGGTGTGTGGTAGAGAGCGTCGTGCTTCTGGTGGCTCAATGTGGTGTTGCCACTGAAGGTATCGTGTGGACAATGCCAATGGTTTTGAAAAGCTGGAGAACGCTTCTGGAAGACTTGACCGCAACCTTGGGGGCAAAGGATGTTATTTCTTAGACAGAAGTTCTCATGCAAGAACAACGATCCCTTAGGCACGACTTGTTGGCAGTTTTTGCAGATCACTTCGTCCGGACCCACCGCTTTTGCATTCTCAAGAGCCTCGTCCAGCCCATCCATTGCTTCTGTCTGGGGGTCGAAAATCGACACCTTCAGTCGGAAGGGTTTGGGCGTGCTTGAGGGTGATTCAGACGGATATGCGTGAACTGAGATCCATACAGCTTCTGCGTCCTCTAGTTCGATGTTTGTAGGCTGTAATCGTATGCGTTTCGGATATTGACTCCTTATGTTTGCAAAAACATGCTCGTCTTCTCGTGGGCGAACTCTTTGTCGGGAAGAGTACGGACTGACATATAGGTCGATCTCATCTCCATCTTCTACTTCGTCTAGCAGGATTTCCAACCCCTGAGATCGGTCCCAGGATGCCAATTCGTAATCGACGTACTCGCCGTCAAGCACTTGTCCAGGTTGCGCGTTGAATATGTCGACTGCGCCGCCGGTGGAACTGCCTTGTGATGTTCCAGGCGCGCGGTGCATCTTGGCAGCTATCCTCTTCATCGTCTCGCGTGCCTGCTCTTCATTCAACGCTTCGATATCCACCTCCAGGTCTGTATCTACCACGCAGATGCCCTCTCCTTCGGGCTTGAAGCCGTCTACGAGGAAACGAAACTCCTCGCGCTTGCCATCAACTCCTCGACCACCGTTTATAGCTAGGACCTCTCCGTTCGTCAAGGTTGTGAAGTTGGATCGCAGGTGTTCCTCCAGTAGCGACTTCCAATCTTCCGGGTCATAGCCAGCTTCGAGAGGCCGTAGCTTTACGAAGGTGCCCTTGGGTAATTGCTTGGCATGTACTGTGATCTTTGTAGATGCAGCACCTTCTGTCCCCAGAGGAATTGCTCCATTCGACATAGCCACGTCATCTTCATCCTGGCCATTTGGGCTGGCATTTCTCGATGGCTCTGCAGATTGCTCTCTGATTCCCAAAGCCCCCTTCAGGAAACTGCTCAAGACAACCTCGCCCTCTTCTGCGGAGAACTCGCGTATGCCTGCATGTACAACTCTGCCATTATCCGGATTGACCAAGCGAAAGGTAAGCGGATGAGGCAGCTGCTGGAAGCGGTCCTGCGTTTGTGCTCGTGCGTGGCGCTCGGCGTTGAAGGTGTACGGGTTGAAAGGATCGAATGCGGTGATGTGCGGTCGATTCGCATCGACGTGTACGACAGGTGCCGCGGCAAGGAGCTGCTCTAACGCTGATGGGGGAAGGAGTAGTTTGTCGCCGGGTAGCGTGCTTCGCGTCGCATGAGCGAGTTCGTATTGCGCGGACCACTTCAGCTCTGTTGGCTCTGCTTCCGGGTCCATGGTTGTATTGCGTCAGGTACAGAAAGGTGAAGGTAATGACAGTGGTGGGAACACATGAATGATGGTACGTCGTAGTTCAGAGGCGTGGAATGGCTGACATATGCGCCTCGCGACTCGAAGCTTCTGTGAATGCCTGGCGTCATCGCGCTGCTCTCGCCTCGGCCCGCTTGGCTTATCGATAACCCTCGCGTGGCAACGCGTGAAGATGCCGCCACCGTTGAAAGTATACAGCAGAAGTCTAGTTTCACCAATCGTAGTCGTCATGTATATTCTATATTTGGTCTACCATCTTTCACAGTGCAAGCGATGGTTTCCCGATACAGCTGCGAGACGGTGACTAAGCTTCTTGGACACACCGAAAGAGCCACGAGCATACCTGAGTATCTCGCAACATACCGCCCATATATGTGTAGACGTGTTTGAACAATTGATCATAATTCATCGTAATTGATCAACAGAAGTACGCGTCTCAACAAAGATGCGAGAATCTCTCCGGGCACCTAAACCATATCTGTGTCGTCCATGCCAATGCTCCGGTGAGTTTCGATATGTCGATTCATGTTCTAAGCGGCCAACGTGGGGCGAACATCCCCCGGCGGCTTTGCGCGTCGCGTCGCCTACCTGACATCTCGCAGCGACTGTTTTAGCCTGTTTCCACTCGACCACCAAGACTTGCAGCGCGGGCTTGGCTGCAAGACGTGTTCCAATCTATGCTTCATCGCGGCCTGATCGTGCAGGTCCTATGCAGGAAGCTTTCGTGTCCTGCTAATACGCCTCTTGGCAGGGTCTTGCGCTTGCGATCGCCGCAGGGAACGAAGCATCGGCGGTATCCCACGCACCCACAACCCCATCTCCTGCAGCGTCTCAACCTCGATTAGTCTTTCCTTTTGCTCATCCAACACACACCTGCAGTGTCAGATCAGTGGCACGTGCTACTCCGCCCTGCCCTCGCGCTGTGTAATAAAGATTCGGTGAGTACCCATCTAACCTCTGGCCAAACTTCTCTGGTTGCATTCCCCGAGCCCTCACCATGGGCCCTTCTACCTTCAGTGACGACCTTCCTACATCCCTGGCGGACCTGCTTTCCAACACCTTGATCCTGCGCCAAACTGCCCCGTACCTGCCAATATCTGCTCTCCGTAACCTGTCGCGAACTTGCAAATCCCTACACCATGTTGTCTTCCAGTCGCCAGAGGCCTTTCGCTACTTGGATCTCTCTCCGGTGAAGTCTGCTATTGTACCCTTCGATGGGCCTGTTGATATCAGCGGTACCAGTTTCCGTGCTGAGCGCATGGACGAAGCCCTCACCGAAGATGACTTCTACAGCGGCCCTCTACGTCATATCTTCAACAGACTTGAGAAGCTGCACGTCTTGCGCAATGTCCACACACTCGTACTAGACGGGCTCAGCGTAACAGCCGAACTGGTCAAGGAACTGCTTACTGAGGAACGCTTCAACGTCCGCATACTCTCGATTCGCGAAGCCAAACATTTGAACGAGAGGAAGCTTCAGCAATACCTGCGATATGCGGTCCGACCGTCCAGGCCTGCGGGCACCCCTCGAGTCAAAGGCATCTACATCTTTGGCACCCGCGATCGAACACCGCGCCCTGCGTCGCCCGTCACGAAGAAGCCTTCCCCACATATTCCCAAGGGCGTGACGACTTCACAAGGGGCGCAGATAGGGGCGCAATGGAACGAGAAGTCGCAGCAGGCCTTGGAAGCTGTACTGGCGCGGACCGAGGACAAGTGGTACCAGTCTTCTGGCAAGATCATACCTAAGCGGCCGTCGCCGGAATGGGCAGAGATTCTCCAGGCGTGCGAAGGCATCATCGCTTTCGACGCCGTTCTGTGCAGAGGACCACGCCATGACCCAAGCAAGGCGTACGTCAGAGACGCGACTGCAGATGGCGCACCCCATCCATCCTCGTTCCTGCGGCCTACAGTAGCCACTGTAGCGCTAGGTCCGTCTGGCTGCGAGACATGCCACTCCTCTCCAGAAGGCCCGGCAGTGTTTGGCGACTCCAGTCCGTCGCATCATCCGCTACTCAGTCCGGTACCACTTCATGGGTCCTCCGTACGCGCCGCGCAGATACCACACACTCTCGACGGATCCGCCCCTCCACCTCTCATAGTGCGATGCGAGGACTGCCTGAAAGGACGCTGGTGCGAGAGATGTCACAAATGGTGGGATGAGAACTGCTACACTGGATCGGTTACCGCCCAGCGTACGGAGCTACAGCAGACGGAGCTCACCGAGAGCTTCAAACCCGACGGGACCAGTCAACTGCTCCCCAAGCAAACCATCAAGGTACATATGGGCCTCTGCGTGGAACACTGCCTCCGTGAGGAAATGATGGCCGGAGCCGGTAGCGACGGGATGTGGGGATGAAGGACTTACCTTGGCGCGCGAGCAGCGATGCTACCTTGAGGCCGTTACGATGTAGTTGGATTCCGGAACCCGGAGCCTGGCTATATTGGATAATTGCACCTGGAGACTGGCACTTGCGCGCCAAGGTATGTGCTCACTCTTTGGTCAAGAAGTATGCTGACGTGAAAAAACACAGGTTATCGGCGTAAGACGTGACTGTTTTGGCTGTGGCCATACCTGCATAAGCTGTAAGGAGCTTTTCATCCGCACCTGCAGGAAATGCAACAACGAGTATTGCCGTGAGGATAACGACGCGTCTTCTGACACTCTGGTTAGTATGGTGCGATGAGGCGTGTAAACATCAACTAACTCGTCTACAGTGCGACTGGTGCAACTATACTTCACGAAGGACCAGGGAGATGTATTGAACTTGGCTTTCGTCGCTTGAGTAGAGCTTGGATACCTCCTCGGCCAACAGCAAACGTATCGCTTGCGACCACAGCTATGGCTGGATTTATGATTGATGATTGATGACTTCCCTCCCCTCTTAGCATTAGGATTAGATACCCCCCTCAAATCTATGGACACGGTTCCCGAACCTAGTTCTCCGAAATATGCAACTGAAACTTAGCATGCGCAATTGTCTAGCATCGAATCTGCGGTGCGGCTTCGCTGTGTGATCATTCGTTCCTTCTTTCACCTATGCATCATGCAGGATATGGGCGTGGTCGATCTAGCCCGTTTCGGCAGACACGCTCCTGCCTGTTTGTGTTGTCGCCTATCCGCGGCACGTCAACACGTCCGCAGTTTTGTCCTCGACTTCCTTACCTTCACCTGCGTTTATTGTTCGGTCGATACTTTATCCAGTAAAGCTATCTGTCTCCAGTGTTTCGCATAACGGGAGTCGCTCTATCGCTATCACTATCAATCCGCGGATAAGTCATGGATCCTACCGCAGCAAAGCAAAGGTATAGTCACTCTGTAGACACCGATAGTATGATGGGACTTGTACTGATGCTGCGATAGAGTACGGGCTTGTCTACCCCAAGTCCGGAAGTTGATGAAAATCACCGGATGTCCTTCTATCTCCATCGGCATCCTCCACGAAGGCGAGATCATCCTCCAGCACAGCCAAGGATTCGCTGATGGGAACGAAAATTATGTCCCGGTCAACAATTCAACTCTCTACATGATCGGATCACTCACTAAGGCCTTCATCGCCGCGTCCTGTGGTATACTCGTCGACGAGGGCAAACTGAGCTGGACCGAACCGCTATCCACATACATACCCTTTACCCAGAACAAAGATCCTGCCATAGGCAAACACATGAGTCTATCAGAAGCCCTCTCTCATTCCAGCGGATTTCCACAGCTCGACATCGCGTGGTATGGCGCAGCAGGCGCAGAACTGCTTCTTCCAGAAGATTTATTACATATCACTGCCAACATGCCAGTTCACGACACATTTCGCACCGGATTCCATTACTCCAACTGGCCTTACGCTCTGGTGGGTAAAGTGATTAAAGCGGTAGGCGGCGAGGATGCCGTGGATGGCTGGGGAGGGTTCGTCAAGAAGAGAATCTTTGAGCCTCTCGGAATGAGTAGATCGACGTGTTCTCGATGGAAAGTCGAGGGTGGAAATCTGGCTGAGGGGCATACGGTCTTGCACGACAGGCGACCAGTACGTTTACGAATGCCTCAAGTTTCAGACAAGACTATTTGTGGAGCTGCAATGGCGATTTGGTCGAACGTTCCGGAAATGCTCATCTGGTCGCAAGCAGTAATGGAACGGTTGGAAGAGGAGGAGACGGAGAAGGGCACCATTGAGGCCATGCAGGGATTGAGTCTCAACACGGAACAAGGCGAAGCAGTACACCACAACGACCATACGGACGCGCAAAGCACATCGGCAAACCCGCTAAGGCGAATCAGCCAGATCACGTCTCGCAAGATACCCGTTACGGACGATACCACCAACGAGAACTCGTACGCATTTGGATGGGCAAGACACATGATTCCCTCGACACAACTTGGGTGGTTGTCTACCAACGGCCCAAATAGAGACGATGTCATCGGGCGAGGATCGCGGCCGCAGCTGACACTATACCACGGAGGCCAGGTGACCGGATATCTCAACTCCATCTATCTCTTTCCGGAGACCAAATCCGCTGTGGTCGTCCTGACCAACGCGCAGAGTGCTGGAGACTGCTCTGATCTCGTTGCTCAGATGTTCATCCAATCACTCTTCAATATGACCCCGGAAGTGGATTTCGGTATGAGGGCGGAGAAGCTATCTACCAGTAGTCTGAACCGATATACCGAGATGAAAAACGATCTGCAGAAGAACCGCATGTTAAATACGCCATGTCCCCATCTCGAAAGCCTTGAGGGGACGTACCGGAACAATGACATACAGGGGATTATTGATGTATACAAGGTAAGTAGAGATCAATTGGAGATGAAACGGAATGGCATGGATTCGCAGTGCCATCTCCTGGAACACTACCAGTCCCACACGTTTAGCTTTTTACCTGGATCGAGCGACGAGATGGAGACAAGATGCCTGGTGGATTACTCGAGCTACGAGCAATTTCTCCTGGTATTCGTACGCAATGAAGAGGGTACGGTTATTGGTTTGGACTGGGTGATGCAGGAGGGATTCAAGCCGTTGCGTTATATTCGCCAGAATATCGGCCCAGTTAGCGGACCCCCGTCTATTATGCTGATCCCGTGTTGAGGATGAGAAACGTAACGAGTAAACATTCATAAGCTTCATAGAACTATAGCTTAGACGTGGTTGTCAAATAGTCACAGCGTTAGCTTTGCTTCTGATCCTCGTGTCGCTGCCAAGCCCCCATCGGCCTGTGGACGGCTGGCCAGGGCCGATGCACACGATGACATGTGGCTGCCAGATTGAGCCTCAACACTGCAAACAAACAATTGTCTTCTTCCCACTTCAGCGCGCGAGTCCTCGCTTTCCAATCCCAATACCCCCGTTTCACGCAATCTGTCCTTTCCGCGCAAATATCCCCGGTGACGTCGTCTCTCGCTCCACGTACCACATCTCCCCAGGACACGTCCGCTCCACCTCCGCCAGGCACCAGCTGCACGACCTACCCAACGCCAGATCACTACATTCTGACACTTACTCTTCGTCGCTATACCTCGCACACTCGCATATCACACAATGGCGCAATACGGCTACGGACAAAACCCGCAATACGGCGCAGGAAATGCGCAAAACCTCCAATTCTACCCGTCCTCATTTTCGAACCAACCAGTATCTGGCCATTCCACACCGTTTCAGGCAAACTACGGCGCACCGGCGAGTCAAGCGTATCCCGCACAGTATGGCGCGGGGTTCGCTGCACCAGGTGTGAGCGGGCAGATGGGCATGGGTGTGTCGGGGCTGCGGACGGGGTGGCTGGCAGCTTTTGGCACAGAAGGATATGATGGAGAGCCGCCGCTACTGGAAGAGTTGGGAGTGAACTTCAGGCATATACAGATGAAGACGTTGGCTGTGCTGAATCCGTTCGGTCGGATCGATCAACATATTATGGACGACAGCGATGTGGCAGGGCCGATACTTTTCTTCTTGATCTTTGGGACGTCGTTACTGGTATGAGACACGAGATTAAGAAAGAGATGAGAGCTAACGTGGGGTAGTTGTCTGGAAAGCTTCATTTCGGTTACATCTACGGTAAGCCAAATAATTCCTTGAAGACAGACAGTAGCTAACAAAAGTAGGCCTGGCGTTCGTTGGCACGATCCTTCTCCACCAGATCCTCTCGCTCATGTCCCCGCCTGTCGTCGAAGCGGCACCAGGAGACCACGGTCACCCACATGGCTCACATCTCGGCTCCTCGTTAACGTTCCCACGATCAGCATCGGTGCTCGGATACTGTCTGCTCCCTCTCGTTCTGGTATCGATGTTTGGAATCATTGTGCCGCTTGACGGGCTATTTGGATACCTTCTGACCAGCCTGGCCATCACATGGTGTTCCTACAGCTCCAGTTCCATGTTCACCGTTGTTGGTAAGTCGAGCCTTCCGATGGGGTTTTTGATGGGAACTAACACATCTCGTAGGGCGCATGACTTCCATGCGGGGACTGGTAGCGTACCCCATGGTTCTGTTCTATGGTAGTTTTGGTATCATGGCTATCTTCAGCTCGCGGGGCACTGGTCAGTTGGCGGCGAAGGCGGCAGGATCATAGGAATATGATCAAGCACATGTCAAGGCGTCTTGATCAAGATATGTAAAACATTTGCGCGTATGCGTACGATATCAAGAACATAACCCAAAATAAATCCAAATATAGCTTCCAAATCGACTTTCACTACATTGAGGTGTCGAGCCAATCGGAGTACGCCTAACGTGCTTAGAGCGATGACGACGAGGACCCTGCACGAAATTGTTCTTCCCGATAATCTCCGCCACCCGTCACATCTTCTTCAGCCCTATATACCTTTGCTTGCCTCTTCTTTTCGCCGTACTACTCTTTCCATACGAATCCTCACCATGGGTTGGTTTTGGGCAGACACCGCACCCGCCGCACCTGCTGCACGTGTTGCGCCGCACGCCATGCCTCGAGGCAGCATGAGCAGCATGGAACCTCCAGTACGCCCTTCCAGTCCCCATACACACTCATCACTACTAACAATCACCCAGCCAGAATGTCCGATGCACAAGAAACCCGTCCCGCCCGTCGTCGCCGAAAAGAAGACACCCGCCGGCGCCTGTCCCTACGTCCCACCTGAGAATGCCTCCACCAGCGCCTCCGAGCCACCCCCAAAGCAAGGCCTCCTTTCGCGCCTCAACCCCCTCAACAACATGTTCTCTGAACTCTCCAACGAGCGCGCCTCCACCCAATCCGTCAACCTCCCCCTCGACCGCGAGACTTCCACGATCCCCAAAGGCGACGGCACGCTCTGGGAGTACCCCTCCCCGCAGCAAATGTACAACGCCATGCTGCGCAAAGGCTACACAGACACCGACATCACAGCCGTGGAAAGCATGGTCGGCGTGCACAATTTCCTCAACGAGGGCGCGTGGGCGGAGATCATGGGCTGGGAACGAAGGTTCTCGAGAGGGTTGAAGGAAGGGTATGAGATATGCAAGCAAGGCGAGGAAGTCGCGAATTTCAAACTGGGCACGCATGAAGATCCGTTTGATACGACGACGTGGGATCATAGGGATGTTCAGCCCCCGAAACTACTCAGGTTTACGGGTCGCCCCACGGAACCCACACCCAAAGCAACGATTATGCAGTGGCTGGGCTACGTGATGCCGGAGAAATTCGGGACGGCGCCGCCGTTTGATCGCCATGATTGGTTTGTCGAGCGTTGTAATGAGAAGGGGTGTAAAGAGATTCGTTATGTTATTGATTACTATGAGGGTGCGCCGGAGGCGTCAGAAGCGGAGGGGGAGGGAGAGGCAGACGAACAACCGGTTTTCTTCTTGGATGTTAGGCCGGCGGTTGATGGGCCGGTTAGTGCGGCTGAGAGGCTGATTCGCACGGGTACGGATGTTTGGTGGAGGGCTAGTGGGGGTGTGGCGAGGGAGTTGAAGAAGTTGGAGGCGGAGAAGGCGAGGAGGGAGGAGGAGTGGGCTAGTAAGAGTAGGAGGTATAATTAGGATGGGTAGTGGGTCAGGATTGGTGTGTGTTGCATTGCGCGGCGTTTATGGGTTGGGAAGTTTTCCTTCTGTATGATTGGGCTTGTATGAGATATGTTTAGGGGGCTTTCTTTGTCGAGGCTTGGTTTGTTACGCTGGGATGGTTCTCTACTCTAGCTTTTCTTTCTTGTTGTAGTATTCTCTATGGCTCTTCTCGAATACGAATGACGCTCAACTTGAATGCCAAACTTCTTCCTCTACATCCTATCCTCGACGCCATAGCTTGTTCTCGTAGTACGGTACGTTGTTCGATCCAGCCTGCGTATCGTGTATCTTGGCGTTAGTCAGGACAGGGGCGTCCGGCGTGACTTGTCGTATGGTCGCTCGAGGCAGCTGGAACAGTGGGTGTGGGATGTCGGAGATGGTGCTAGGGCCTTCAGTAGTAGGTGTGGTGACATGAGCAGTGGCGTTTGTTTCGATGGGCCGAGGGACAGGGAGCGGTTCTGTGGATTTGGAAGACGTGCAACCCATGGTTGATTATGGAGGTTGGGAGTCGATGGCTGGTGATGATGGTGGTTGGTAGTAGGCACTTCGATGGTGTGTGCGAAGTAGGCTTCCGCGAACTAGAAGAGAAGGGATCCGCGAACTAGAAGAGAAGGGATAAGGTGTGAATTCACTGTGGTTAGTGAAGAGATTCGATTTATGACTTCACATCTCCAATGAGCGAAACGATGCTTTGAGAAACTAGTATGAGAATGAGTGATTCATATTTTAGACCTAATGACATCAAAAGACATTTAACTCATCGTCTAGTTCATATAGCACTCATTGTATTCAGTCTCACATATCAGTATCCTTTACTCCAGCACACCCATCACTCCATCATCTTATCCCGCGTGCTGATCCACGTGAACCCCGTGTCGTAATACCCATATTTGCTTGCCAAAGGTCCTCTTATCGGAACAGGAGTAGATGGTGCTGTGATGAATGGAGGGGTGGGAGTATTGCGCAGTGCTGATTGTTCAGGCTGAGTCTTTGCTTCTGGCTTGGTGGGCGTGGGGGAAGGGACTGGTGGGTTTGCGGTAGGAGTGTTGGAGACGGGTTTGGGGATTGGTTTGGAGGATGAACAGCCCATGGTGAGAGTTTGGGGGAAAGATGTGGAGCTTTGAGCGGGTAGAGAAAGGATGGACTGTTCCTTTTGGAGGTACTTTTTGGCTGCGGAGAATGGGAAGCCTGTATGATTATGTATGATGAGCGGAGCTTTTGAGTATGGGAGGCACGTAGCTTTTGTGTGCGTCTTATACGTGCACAATGGAAGAGATCGCAGTGAAGCACACAATGTGAGCATGTTCCGCGGTGACCTTGAGCTTTTGAATAACAGCACAAAGATAACTCTGCCAGTACCCAGAGCCCTGACTGCACGCATTCCACGTTCTGTCTTTTAAAATCTCTAGCTCGTGTGCACCCAACTATCTCTAGTCTCTTTCTCCACTTCCACCTCCTTCACCAGACGCTCTACCCTCACTAGACATTCCTACAACACCACCGTCACCGTTACTAAACCCGCTGTCTGCTCTACCCAACCCACTGTATTCCCTGCCGTGCATATCACCCCCATCATAAAACGGGGTGGTCCTATCATGTCTTCCGTTGTAGCGTCCATACGATCTGTTTTGGCCTGGGTATGCAGCAGCAGCCTCGAAATACCCGCGGGCTCTTTCACCGTTTCTTCGGGCAGCATATACTGCCGATATATGATTTACTTCGTCTTTCACGCGTTCGACTTCGCGATTTAGTTTTGATAGAAAAGATCCCATGGCTTGGTAGTCTCTAGCTTGAATGAATAGTGTGAATGTGCGTGCACTATCTCGAGTGCTTGCGGTGAAGAGAAGACGACCGAATGGAGGCGCTGACGATGTCAGTAGTAGTTAGAGGAACAGTCGATGAATGAAACTGCGGAGGTTCGTGGATGTTGAGAAGGTTAAGGACAAGCTCGAAAGACAGTTCTGAGGGATGTTCATACTTCTTGGCTGTGCCATAGCGGATATGAGGCACGGTTGAGAAGGCGGCTATGCTAGGCGGAAGTCATTGTTGTAGTTGGTCCCCACCCTCTCTCCCCCATGGTACCGCGATGACCCATTAACGACGAGCCACTCACGACTCACGCAACACGCACGATATACACGATAACTAAATCCGCTCATTAAATAATGGAAGGGATGAGAAAGAGGTCATTGTTGTAGTTGCGGCTGATACATTGAAAGCACATACAGATTGCTACCTATGGAAGGTAAAAGAATAATCACAAGACAGCAAGTAGGTCAAGAGAACATGGAAGCATCGCGTCTTTCGTTGTCGTTATCAACCACCACCACCACCTCCACCATCTCCTCCTCCGCCATACCCTCCGCCATCGCCGCCATAGCCACCACCGTAGTACATTCTACCAGATGTATTTCTGGCGTTTGTCCCGTCGGAAAGTATGTAGGGAGGGCCAGGAGGCTTCCCTGGGTTGGGTCCATATCCGTCTTGGTCGTGCTTTGCTCCAGCGAGTTTGCTTGACATGCAGCCCATGACTGGCGTTTCGAGTCGTTTCTCCTGTATGATGGACAACTTAGGAGGATGGATGTGCAGTGTAGACGGAGGATATGGCTATGAACAGCAATGGTGAGCAGTGATACGCAGACTTGAGCAGTGAGCTTACTATCGACGAGGTGATTTCTGACTGAGAAGTCGCTACATGATCATCAAGTCATAGTCGCTGAGAGTTACCCATCATATATCTTTTCAAACCTCACTGTTCAGCTGAAAGTTGAGTGGTTGCGACAAGTACGAGAAAGGTCGTCTGACAACGCCTGTGGCGTGCGCCTCTTCGCATAAACTGATGCTTTCGCTCACAGCTCCATGTGAGAAAACTTGGCTTCAACTCAGGTCCAGACTTTCACAAGCCAAAGGCACACTTCAGAAACATCTCGAGAATCTATATTCGATGCGATAATTGATGCTGGGTATATAAGCGACAGTAACAAGAGATGCAACAGCGACAGGTAGTTCAACGCTAACAATCAGAGGCGGGAATAATCCGCGCCGTCGCAAGAAATTACGGAAGAATTGCGGAGCAAGAACACATATAGAAGTTCGGAGGCGCGCAAGTGACTTTTTTTAATGTGGATTCAGCCCGATGGACTGCCTTGGAAGTGCCTTGAAGGCGTGCGGCGGACTGGGCCTCGGCACGGACGGACATTGGATGGGAGGACCGACACGGAGCCACCGGTCAGTCGGTAATGCGCGATCGTCTCTCCTGGGAAAATAATGCCGCCGGAGAAGGACCGCAGAATATGCACCGGCATTTGATGCAGATGTGGAAACCTGTGGTCACGGCGACCGGAATGTGGAGGTGACCGGTTTCGAGGCTGATCGCGAAGATAATCGCGACAACATATCGAACCACTGCCAGAACCCATATGGTGGGCGCACAAGGCTTCTGGCATATCTTCCCTCAGACCGCGCCCATGAGGAACTTCCAGTGGAAATCGGTGCTGGTAATATCGAGCGACGGAGTCACGTCCCGTAAACTCGGTAATTTCTCCACTCCATTGGTCGTACCACTCCCGTTGATTTTAGGCAGTGACAGATTGTGGAGGAGAGACACAGTCCGTCCCGAGCCTGTCGCTAGCTCAAACGTGTTGCCGTTCGGGCTTCCCCTGCCCATTGCATCGTGCAGCGCTAGTCGCATGACTGAAGTGATGCGTCGGAAGCGCTCAAACGCGTCTTCTTGACTGTCTTGAGCATCGCGAGGGCGAGGCATTTGCGAGGATAGCTGTTCGCGGTAGTAGTCGAATGACTTCGCTATTTGGAGCTCGCTAGCGTCCCAACCTGGCATGGGCGAGGCGTGTATGGCCAACTTGCTCAAGCTGGTGATTGTGTTGATCAGGTTGAGCCAGTCGATCAGCGACACGAAATCGAAATGCTTGGTCGGGAGCTTTGTGCTGTTGTCAAGGAACTGTTCGACGGACCGGACCAAGGTGACGCGTAGTGATAGCTGGAAGCCCGAAGCCCACGGTGTACTATCGCGATCTACGAGATCGATGGAAGCTGCCGTTCGATACAGGTGTATGCGTGCTGCAAGCTGTAGCCATTGCAGTATTGCTAGTCAGAAATTAGCAATTGCGAACGTTACAGTGATGTGACTGCTTACTGAAGTCTTTCGCTTGCAGCTTGGATGCAAGACGAATATTCTCCCACTTGTCGCTCAGTCGTTTGACTTGTGTACGAACCACCACTGCTTGCTCTGACTGGTTACGGAAAGTCTCCTCCACGTCCTCCATATATTGGCAGACATCGGTTAGTATTGGAAGGACGGCATCTGACGTATTTTCCCACGAAGAGGCCAGTTCCGAAGCGTAGTTCCGGAGTGTGCTGGTGTGCGTCATGGTCCTTGCTTTGACTGGCTCCATCAGACCCAGGTTGGAAGATAAGTAGTAACATCCCAGATAAGCCCGCTTAGCTTCCCTGTCACGCGGGCTTTCCTTTTGTAGAGGACTCCTCACAGTCCTCCCTATACTGTCCAGACCCAGGTCGTGTGCGATACCCAAGCACAATTGTAGAAGCATCGTGATCGAAACAGCTTGGACATCCATGTAGTGATGGTGCCAGGCTATGAAGACCAAGAGTCCCTGTAGGAGGTCCAAACTCTTTTCGCCTTTCATTATCCGGACCATGACCACTTTACGGAATTCTAGGCTCAGTGCTCTTTGAAGCGGGACCGAATCGTAAGAAGAGACTGTTAGCACAGCAAACATCAACATCGGCCGGCTCTGGAAGAGGTCCTGACAGCGGGCGTCTCTCGGTAGGGATACAAAGGGGAAAAAGTCGACCATGCTGCGATACGTGTCGAGCAGCATCTGCATGTGCACCAGGCTGATCGATCTGATCACAGGATCCAGTCGGCCAAGGCAAGACAGTGTGTCGTTCATTGATTCCCAGAATGACGCCGAACTTTCGGACTGGTTTGCATGAGCGGGGAGTGATAACGTCCTGGGAGCTGGTGGCATCGATACAGGCGGAGCGGTGATTGGTGTCGGCGTCGGCATTTGCTGTGTGGAGTCCAACAGTTGCGATGGGATGGTGGCTACCGATGGCAGACTACATTGTGTCGGAGCCGGCGCCATTGTCGCAACGATAGCAGACAACTTGTCCAATTTCTTGTCGAAGTCGCGCAGCTTGGTGGGTGTTTGGCCATCGCTGCGCGCCTTTGCTGGCCGCCTGCGCGCAACATGTTCCACACACTCGACTCTTGCCTTTTGGCATCTGGAGCACGTGTCATTCCATGTGGAGCAAAAATATGGCTGGGGTAAACAAACCTCTGGCAGAGAGCCGGCGTGTCAGATGGAACGCAGCGAACCTTGTGTTTTCGACAGCGCTCGCACGCAAAGGCGTTCCCTATCCTCCCTTCTTTTGCGTCCATGGCGGGGACAGAACTGGCAGTCTTGGGGGAAGGAGAGCCATCGGCCTCCGGCTGGGTACCCAGGCTGCTCATGTGGGGAAGTCCGATCATGTGGTGCCAAGTCCGGGGTCAAACTGCAGTTGTGAATTGAGTCCCTCAAACGCGCGTAACGGGTGCACCAGAGATCAACGCTATGCTGACAGGGCGGAAGGCAATGCCGCAAGCCATTGCATCGGAACAACTTCAGCACAAGAGCCTTTGAAATGGGTTCCGCCGAGGGCCCGTCTATGTGGCGGTGCGAAATGATCAAGATACCTCGGGTAGTATATGTCGGTATATTGATGGTCCGCTTGGAACCGGTTGCTTACTCCCGACGGTCTGGGGGCGTGAAAGCCGCCTAATTGCCCTGGCGGAACTGCTCCGAAGCTCCATCCGGCACCAGTGCTGATAAGTCCGTCATGTCAACGTTGCGCCTCGAATTGAATGGACGGCAATGGTGATGACCTCCAGTGCTGGCTATAGCAAGCGGCGCGACGCTACCGTCATAGTTTCCTCGCTCTTCTCCGCCCAATTTCAATCATGACTCACCTCTAGTGCCACAACCACGACGAAATGACCCAGAAAGCGCATCGCGACTATCAGGATGGCTTCGCCGGGAGGATAGGATGGGGTAAACGTCCGGCGCTGCTACTTGTCGATGTTTGCAACGCCTACTGGAACGATGCCAGCCCATTGGACACCAAGTCGAACCCTGCGTCTGCGGCGGCGCCCGCGTCCATCGCAAAACTCGTCTCTGCCGCCCGCCAAGGCAAAACGCCGTTGATCTGGACGCGAGTCGAATACACGAAGCCGGACATGTCGGATGCGGGCCTGTTCTACAGCAAAGTACCTCTACTCAAGCTGTTCCAAGTCGGCTGCGGGAACGGCCTTGAAAGTTGGTATCCTGGTTTAGAGCCCGCCGCTGGTGAAGTCGTCGTCCCCAAGCGCTACCCGTCCGCATTCTTCGGGACCGATCTGGCTGCGCAACTCCAAAGTTGCAACGTCGATACAGTCATAATCTGTGGTGTCAGTACAAGTGGTTGCGTCCGCGCGACTGCCCTCGATTGCATGTGCTTTGGATTTCGACCAATGGTGCGGATCGACTCGGCAACGCATGAGTCCCTGTAAACGTCACTAATCATCATTCCAGGTCGTTGGAGAAGCATGCGGTGACTTATCGCCCGCTGTCCACAAAGCAAACCTTTCTGACATCAACGCAAAGATGGCAGATGTTGTGTCTGAGGATGAAGCAATTCAGAAGCTGCAGGCTGGATGGGACTGAGCGGGCCGCGCGGCTACGGTACCGCGCCGCAGAACTAGTTCCAGGAGGTAAAGCTCCTGTCTCTGTAAGTTAATATAGTCATTTAGGTTCCTCTCAAGCTCGCCTCCATGAAGCCGAGCGAGTTTCTAGTGTACGATACTGTGTCGCGAAGACATGTGGAGATGGCGGCTACCACGAACGACAAATAGCACGGACAATTAACAAAATACACTCCTCTCTCGATAACGTGTAGAAAGAGCCAAGGTAACGGAAAGATGGACTGTAGAAGGCGTAGTCAAGGTGCATCATCTAAGAGGAAGGTGTGAAGCGTGGCGTGATGGTCGGTTCTTTCTTCTCACTAACATTTCATTTTGACAACCGCAACCTAGGTACTGGTCTTACACAGACAGGCAAGCGATTCTTCACTATTCATTGAACCACTGCTTCACAGCGCGTTACGTTATCACTCAACATCACTCACATCACTAGTCACAATGCCAACAACCTTTCAAGCAGAACCCACGAGAAGGCACGTGTCCGGTCTCAGAGCACATTTGCGCGTTTGCTATCGAGCACGGCATCGGCGTCTCTAGATACACCTTCTAATCCACAATACGCTCGAAAGCGACGCGACACTGTGCCCAACTCAGACACATCAACCACACTCGAAGTCTTCCGATCACAATTCTCCGCCAGCGCCAGCGCCACGCCAAAGGAATTTCTGACATGAAACAACGAAACTCAGCGCTCCCGATACTACAGCACACTCCTTATCCCGGCGCAGAACCGGTGCCCGATTGCGTGTGGGTATGCTGTGGATGCAGAAGAAGATGGGAGACGAAGGAGCTCGGCAACATCTGTGTCGGCTGCAGTCACAAATACTCCGTTGACTGTTGCCAGCTTGCCGGATAGCAAGTCATGGCGGGGGACGAGGAGATGACACAAGGGCGAGTTAAGGTGCGCCCGTCTACCCTCTTGGTCTAACGAAGGCTAATATAGCGGCATACTTCAGCTGGTAACATACCCAGCGGTCGAGAGTGTGTACGAAATCCTACTCGTAGCCATGGATGAACGTGATGGTGGCAAGCGCAATCAACAAAAACATCTATTGGTATGCATCCTTCTTCAATGCCATGATCTACGAAACTCACTCCGCTCATGCTTCACACAGGCAAAGTGCTGTACTCCATTCGCTCCTCTAACACAACTGCTGGGTACCCATTCGGCCATAAAGCTAACGCCTGATTCTGCTTAATTTCTCCGATGGCTCGACTTGATTGCATTCCTTCCATACACCATCACGCTCCTCATCGGCGGTACTACCATCTCTTCCGACCACTTAGATTCAGGTCCTCATGATTTGGTGCCCAGCGACCACGGCAGTTGGAAATCTCCTTGGGGGCCTGCCCCAGACGACTTCTTCGGTCTCCACATGGCAAAGATAGGCGGAGGCGTGAGCTCATGCGCGCACTTCCTCCACTCGTCGCTCGCTTCCGACTTCTCGTTGTCGAAAGCAATCTTCAGCAGAGACTGAAAACCAAACTTGTCGTAAAGCGGTTTTCCCATGGCAGAAGCTTCCATCCAACATTCGAGATCAAGCCCGTCCGCGCGTGTGATACCAACGTGCATGAGAAGAGAGCCAACACCGCGATTCCGATGGGCAGGGTCTACCGCCATCCAGTTGAGTGCTAATACAAAGTCAGCGACGGGAAGAAGATCATTTTGACTTTTCGCACAATCACGTTTCTTCATCCGGAAATAGCGCGTTTGAGGGGAAAGGAAATGCTCCACTTACCACAGTGTGGCCGCGTCATCCAATTCGCTCGCGGCCTGTACACCTGATTGAGTATTGACTCGCAGAAGCTCCGATATTCGCCCTCGGGCCACCATGGCGCTGTCAACTTTGGTGTGCCTGCAGCGAATGGGTTGACAGTCGAAATTACCCATTGCGAGCAACCGACAGTCTTGTTAGTAACTGTGTCGAAGGCGTAGAACCAGTGGCTGGAATTGTCCTCTTGGTGTTGTTTCCAGAAGCGTTGTTTTGATTCGGCGACGGCGAGGTCGCGATGGGCGCTCGTGTAGCCAAGGACCGGGAAGAACAGTTGCATGAACGGCTCATAAGGTGTGTAGTTCGCAGCCCAGATAACATCCAGCATCTCATCCAGCTCTTGCTTTGTCTTTGCCTCCCGGATCACGTATCGTTGTCCCATGGCAGCGGATTGGCGATTGCGTCAAGCCATGGCGACATCGGCCAGGTAAAGTAGTCTGCAAGTGCGCTACCTCGCCGCCGCTGCGCATTGACAGCGCAATCGGAGATATAGCTTGACCCAAGTATTGGACATCGTAGATTGCCGTGTTAGGGTGAAGTTGCCCAACAAGGAAGGTACCGTCGACACATTTAGCGTCTTGGCGAGGCTGGCAAGTAACACCCTTTTGCCCCAGCACACCTTCCCCGATAGCCCCTCACTTTTACACACATCCAGCCACTCGGTAGCACTTGTATCGCTATCATCATCTCCAGATGCTTGCGACCTTCCTCGATCGTACGGGCGCCGCAAGACAGATTTCTCGGCGATGTAACGATGGACCGAGGCTGGTCGCGTCGCTATTCATTCATGGTCCGCGCTCGGAGCGGTGCGATTGGGGTATGGTGTTGTCGGGACGGGCTTGCGACGTATGTTTGTGAAACTCGAGGCGAATTCTGTGACACCCAATGAGCGCGCTCCGTCTTATGGAGCCGCGGAGGCTTGCTTTCTACATTCACTCCACAAAGCGGATCGAAGAATGGAGCGACCTCCAGCATATGCGCCAGTCTGCAGCGATGAACAGGAAGAAATCCTAGCAGAGCTAGAAGAGAAGGATGGCGTTTCCTGGAACTCTAAGAGTACTGAGATCATCCCGACCAACACGCGCAGCTTCGTGGCGTACATGTCCATCCTGCTGCTTTCTCTTTCAGCAAACATTCTCCTGGTGATGGACAATGCAAGGCTTCGAATTGCGCACAGTCCAGCTAAGAGCAACTACAGTAAGTGACAGCCTGATCGGTCTGATGCTAGCTCACGAAGATCAAAGGTGGATTAGCCTACGATACTACTGTGCCATATCACGCGACGACAAAGTACTGGCATCCGAACGCCAGTGATAGTGATATGGAAGGGGCATGGGACGCTATTGACACCAATGCCATGGCAGTCACGCTTGACGATAGATTCGCAAAACGTGTCGGTCTACCCAACTCTACTCGGTTTCCATGGGATACCGAGAGAAGCATCTACTACGTCAAAGGAATCCACGATCTGCATTGTCTTGTACGTATACATGATGATCTTTGTGTTCATCCGCTGATTGCATCAGAAACTCATCCGGAAAGCCATTGTGTCAAAGCATAACGACAACCCACAGCCCTTCAATCTTCTTCACATCTACCACTGCCTTGACGGACTCCGGCAGGACATCATGTGTAATGCGGACGACACACCGATACCAGCCCCTGTTACACATCAATCGGGCGAAGGTCAGCTTCGGCAGTGTCGTGACTGGGACAAGCTGATCGCATGGGCCACGCGTCCTGACCAACATGCTTGCTACGAGTTTGACGATTATCGCGAAGCAACGAACACACTGGAAAACTTTGCATTCTGTCCCCCGGGTTCGCCTTACCGGGAGTTCCAAGAGGCTTATTTCCAGTATCATGGACACAAAGACGCGTATGAGCTGTATGGTGACGAAGAAGAAATCGTGGTTTTCTGAAGTCGTGGATGGGATACACCTTAGGCATGACTGGTGCGGGAGCGTTCCTGGTCGTTTGCGC